ACACACACACACACACACATATATATACACATATATATATGTGTGTGTGTGTGTGTGTGTGCGCGCGCGCGCCCTCATGCATCTATTAAATATTTGATCCCATTTGAGTTTCACAGAAACCCTCTGAGGTAGTATTACAGTAGGTGACACAATGTGAAGCTGGATAGCTGATATTTTAACCCAATTTTCATGGCTTCAAAGCTTGGCATGTTGCCCAGACTGACAGTTATCACAGAATAGTCTACTCCTCATCAGGGAATTACTTAACCATCGGAGTCTCAGTTTCCTCTTTTTTAAAATGAGTTTCATAAGACCTGCATCATACACTTATTGCCAGGATGAAAAGAGCTGAGGCATGTAACGTGCTTGGCACCATTCCTGGCACATAGAAGGTGATCAATTCATGAAGCATGGTGTTATCAAAGGGATTGCTGCTTTGGTGATGGGTTGGACTCAGGGATGCTTGAGGCTCTTTTTGACTTCTAAAAGTTTGTCTCTGATAACTAGACAAGCAGAAACCTTGCTAAGATTTCTATTTCTAACACACATGGGCATAATAAATGACCAGGCTCACCTTTCTGTCCTTTGGAAAAGCATTTGGCCCCTCTGTTGATTAACAAGAAACCAGAGAGAAAGCCTGAGCCAAACAGATTTGTCATCTTTGCTCTCCTGTGGCTCCCCACCGACAGTGGTTTTCTCTACGGAAGGGAGAAAGACTGCTCCATCCCTTGCCAATTCCAGGAGAAAGCCCATGGAGTGAGTGGAATGTTCACCTGGCACTCACCCTCCCGCAGCAGGCTCCTGTAGTCCATGGGCATTCACTTCTTCCTTAACTTTATCAAGAGAGAAGATTTTTTCTGTAACATATATGTACTAAGTATTCACTATGTTCACGATCTTTGGACCAGGCCCTGTTTTAAGCAAAGGCTGTATTGTATTGAGTGAAACAGAGCTACAAAAATGATAAGGATCCTGCAGGATTTTGGTGATGAGCAGGTGAATTAATTAATGTCTATGGAATGTGCTTCATATATATATATTAAAATGCTACCCTCAATAAAGCTTTTTGAATGAATAAGTGACATATGTGTGCCAACAACCCACAAAGTCAAGAGAATCAGGAACTCAGTGGGATGGAGGGGAGATGGCAAGAAAATCTTCCGGATTTTGGTGATGAGCAGGTGAATTAATTAATGTCTATGGAATGTGCTTCATATATATATTAAAATGCTACCCTCAATAAAGCTTTTTGAATGAATAAGTGACATATGTGTGCCAACAACCCACAAAGTCAAGAGAATCAGGAACTCAGTGGGATGGAGGGGAGATGGCAAGAAAGGCTTCAGCGTAGGTGGTGCCTTTGATGTAAATGACTGATTGCTTCTAGCCAACATTTGCTGCAACAGATGAATGAACCTAGCCAAGGAAGAGTGGAGGAAATCTTAGAGCTGTGTCCATCTCTCCTTGCTCTCATGTGTTATATTTAAAAAGTTTTTTATGCATTATTCTTGTTCCCCTCTTTCTGCTCTTTTTCTCTTCTCTTCTCCATTCTCACCTGGTGTTTTCTCTCTTCTCACTTGGTGGCAAGACATAAGGAGATGGAAGGCATGTACAGCCTTCACTGGAATGGCTTCTCCACCCCAGATGACTTTCTGTTTTTCATATCACGGTGATTCCTGTTACACTGTAACAGCATCCCCACCCTCCACCAACCACTGATGCTAAAGGGAGGAAAATGTGACAGAACAGCTTAAAGTCCTCCATCCTACCCTCACTAACTGATCTATATCTCTTGCTACACTCCCTTAAACAAATTAGAGCCAATCACTACATTTTGAGCCCTGATTGCTATTCTCAGCTGAGCAAAGGAGAGCTCTGTGAGGGTCTAGGACTAATGATCTCAGTGGAGAAAAATTCAGAAGTCGATGCAGTCTGAGATCACTGGGGATGAGGCATTGTCTCCAAGAGGAAAGAGCAGAAGAATCCCTCCTTCCTTCTCCTAGCTCCTCACCCAGCCCTCCCCTTTTTGAATCAGACTGGTCAGAGCATGGAGAAGCTCAGTGGTATGGGATGACCTCATATAGAGAAGGGGAGGAGGAGAGATAAGATGGCTCCAGGGATGCCTTCCAACTCTGTCGTTTATGGTTCTAGACAGTTTCCTCCCAGAATCCTCAGTCCAAGGGGCAGAAGCTATCTGCACTCATCTCCTCTTTGCTGAAGGTTTCTGACACTTCTGTCATGCTAAGCAGCTTGCATCAAAGGCAACACCATGAGGAACCTAGTTTATTTTAGTGCCCCCTGCATCCAGTAGTGAAAACAATGAGTATGAACTTCCAGAAGAGCCAACACCTGCTTCCAGTGCTGACCTTTACACTTGAAGCTGTGAGACTAGGGTCATTTCACTCTAGATCTGCTCACCTCTGAAATGAGTTAAACAAGTTTATGGGATGTAGTAGGTGTTTGATAAATATGTGTCCCTTTCTTCTTTCCATCCTAGCCACAAAGCCTACATGTGGCAGATTAGGAAGGAAACTCTGGGCATTAATTAAATAGTAAGACACTTATTTGAATATAGCCTTGACCAAGTGTCTGGTGATGCATGTAAGATCTCTGGCAGTCATGGGGATGAGCTGGACGCGAGACGGACAGGTGATTCACCAAAACACTGAGAATCTTCCCTTTCTTTTTCCCTCCATCTGAGTTCTAGTCAGGCCAACCTCTTCTGAGGTCTGCAGGAAACTCCAAGGATCAGACTGAAGGTCTGTCAAAAACTCATATCCTCATCTCTTCTCCATAGGCCATCCAGATGTTGAACAACCCTGTAAGTCCAGTGTCCGCACCTGGAGCCCAAATTCAGCTGTCAACCCACACACGGTCCCGCCAGCCTGCCCTGAGCCACAAGGCTGCTACCTTGAACTGGAATTTCACTATCCTTTGGTTCCTGAGTCTCTGACGGTCTGGGTGACCTTTGTCTCCACTGACTGGGACTCTAGTGGGGCTGTCAATGACATCAAACTGTTGACTACCACGGGGAAGAACATCTCCCTGGGCCCTCAGAACGTATTCTGCGATGTTCCACTGACCATCAAACTCCGGGATGTGGGCGAGGAGGTATATGGCATTCAGATCTACACGTTGGATGAGCACCTGGAGATTGATGCTGCCATGTTGACCTCCATTGCAGACAGCCCACTCTGCCTAGCGTGTAAGCCCCTGCAGTACAAAGTGGTCCGGGACCCTCCTCTCCAGGTGGACGTGGCCTCCATCCTGCATCTCAATAGAAGATTCACAGACATGTAAGTGCACTTTCTGGATAAGGAGAGGACCAAGTGGGTGGGGTGTGGAAGGAAAAAAGGAGAGTCGGAGAGGCCTGGATTAAAAGAAGGTTCATCACAGCCAGACTCACTTCTAGGGCTTTATAATGTGGCATTGTGTATAGAATTGTCTTAACAAGGCAGAACTGATACGGTGGGAAGAGCAAGGATAAGGAACGAAGAGACTTGGATTTTGCTGATAGCTCCAAGTGTGACTCTAAGCATCCCAGTCTTTCGGAAACTTGGTTTTCCCAACAGTTGGATGGGATTAGCAGTGAGGAAGTCATTTATTACTAATGAAAGTAGAATAATTGAAGTTTGATGATGATTTCTTTTCTGTGTTACACTGAAGAATATTCATGCATTCTGGTTGCTTCTTCAGTGTGTGAGATGAAGGTGAAGTTGGCTGGGAATTGACCATGTTCCTGGGTATTTGTATGAGAATTTTGATGGAAGGTAAACATCACTAGTCATGGTCCTTGATTTGTTTTCTTTTTTTGAAGTGGAGCACTGGTCCAAACCCATTTAATTCATACGTGCCCTTGCAGATCTAGGTCTCCATAATTCTTGTGGATAGCCAGTGCTTTTATACAACTTAGTGTTTCTCCTGAATATAGCATATATCTCAAGCTTCCTCTCTAGTACACCTTCTTCAAACATCCTCAGGATTTATATTTTACACAAGAGATCACATTATAATGAAGTCATTCGTGTTTTTCCTGTGTGCCAAACAATGGTCTAAGGTGTTTACATCTTTTACTTGTTTCATCCTCTCTACATCCACAGCCCTATTATCCTGCTCCTTTTACAAAGAAGAAAACAGCAGCTTAGAGACGTGAAGTCATGTGTCCAGAATCGCACGGTTAGGAAGTGGTGAGATCAGGATTGGCATTCCACCTTGACTCCCAAGCCAGAGTACTCAGCCATTGTTCAGTTAATGATGTGATTCCAACTTCTGCTTTAACCTCACCAATGAGGGAGCCTTGGCCACCTAATTTGAGTACCAAGACTCGATGAAGTCAATCAGCAAACATTTGTTGAATGTTTATGACATGCGATGGATGTTGGTAGGGAACACTTTGAGTCTTGGAAAGAACAATAGCTCAGGAGTCAGACGCCTTGTGTTTGGTTCCAGCCAGTCCACCCACTGACGAAAGATAAATCAGTCAGTTTCGTTGAGCCTCAATTTCCTCCTCTGTGTGATGAAAATGTTGAAGTCCATGGTTTCTATGGGTCTTTTGTGGCTCTTTCTTTGATTGTAAGATGATATAAGAGACAATCTGTGCTCTGTCTACTTGAAAATATTTATGAAGCCAATCATTAATAGAAACCAAGTTCTGGAGGAAACTTTTAATCTTTTTAAGAGTCAGAACCACTTTCAAACTCTTTACCAGCACTTCCTTTTACATGCCAGCAATTAACGTGCACATCACAAGCAAACCCTTGCCCATTCATTGACTCAGAGATGAAGACCATCTGTTTAAGAACTCAGAGGGAGCGCTTGGTTTGTGTTTGGGAATGGACTTAAAATGTAAAGAATCATCCTGCCTTGAAAAGATTCCATAACCCCGTCTCTGCCATCTCCTCACTTGTCTAGAGTAGTAAAAGCTCCATAAATATGCATCCATTTAAAATTTCTTTACAAAACAATGGGGGTAATAAATAATAGATGTCTTAAAACCTCAGTTTAAATACAGCTTTCATTTTTTTGCCTCAAATTGTGAGCAAGGGAGAGCTGACACGGATGCTAAGTGTGGAATGGTGGAAGTTAGACTGAAGAAGTGAAAGCACCTGAGTTCTATCTACTTTCAGCGAAGTCACTAACCCGCTCTGTGATCTTAGTCTAGTCACTTACTCCTTCTGGTCTTCAGAGGCCTCCTCTACAAGGAGGAGCTTGCACTAGATTATTCGTGTTCAGACTCGGTTGCACAGCATGAAAACTTGAGAAATTTTTTAATTTCTCACTATCCAGGCCCACGTTCTTGTGCGCCATTTGTTCTTTCATTCACTCAACAAATACTTCTCTCGTCCCTAATGTGTGACAAGAACAAGGGCTACCCCGAGGTGTTCGCTGGCCTTTCTCTTTGCTTTCTTGAGTCCCAAGGAATTTACTGGAGAACTGGGCTGGGCTGGGCTTCCTGACGTGAATGTTCTCTGAGACTCTGAACAAAGTAAAACATCATTCCAAGTCAACCTACCATTTCAACTCCGTTATCTCTTAGTAATGCAAGTTCTGAACTCCAACACAAATACCTCTGTGTGTCTCTGCATGTGTGTGTATTTGGCTGCTTTCACATTTTTTCCATATCAAATAAATTGGCTCATGGACAAGTTCTATATAAAGACTGTTTTGGAGAAAAAGAGGAGAGAGAGGAAAAAATGCCTTTTATTTTCCTTCCCCGACTCAACCCATTACATGATCCCCTTTGACCTTTGTCTTCATTTTTTTCTCTCAGCAAAAATATTTATTCTTTCTGTTATCTATCCTGGAGATAGTTTCCCAAGGTATGACATTGATGGAGGGAAGGGCTTCTGGGCTTACCCATGGATGCTTCCAGTAGACTGATTACTTTTGGCCAGGATGAGGAAGAAATGCAGAACATCTCCCTTAAGTGGAAACCCCTTCATTGAATGAGAAGTGACACTAGCAGAGGAAAAGAGGACCAGCGCCAACTCTGCTACTAATTTGCCATCTGACATTAAGACACATTGCGTCATTTATTTAGGCTTCAATTTCCCTGTGTGTAAAATTGGGGGAAAACACATTATGCAATTCTGTGTGGATAGATGTTGTTCTTAGGTGACAGGTGACTCATTTACCCTCTTTTTTATTTTTATTTATTTATTTTTTTTTTATTTTTTTTTAAGTAAAAGGGATTCGGCAGAGATTGTCTATAAGATCAGTACCTGGAGTGGACCTGACTGGTTCCAATGCCCTAGTGAAATGTGTGGTGTGTGGACAATAATCATGCGAATAATAATAATGACTACTTACTGAATACTCACCGTTTAAGTGCCTTACAAATATTTATGAGGCAGGTGAAGCTCAGAGAAAAATCTAGAGTTCAGAAAATGTACTCATCCAGCCTACCACAGCTGGCAATGGCAGAGCTGGTCTCATTCCAAATTCCCCTTTCTCAACCACAACGCCTCCTGCTGTAATAACGCAGAGGCAGACCTCTAGAGCTCAGACACGCATCCAAGCTGGCTGAAGTTCAATGTTCAGCAAGTAGAAGACATGCTTACAACTCGCAGGCCTTTAGCCCACAGTCCATTCCTGTGACCCAGTCTTGGAGCCCAGCAACACAAGTTACACAGCCAGTTCTTCATGTGTGTGGCTGGGAACAAAGAAGGGAGGCTTCTGTTTCTCAACTTGACTGTCATCTTGACTTGCTTTGACTTGCTTCTGCACCGGGCACCATGCTGCTTGGGTCTGTATGAAATCTTCAGATTTCTCTAAGAAGTAAAAACTTGACAAAACTAAGCCCTTTTTTTTTTTTGGCTTAGGGTAAGTCAGGTGTAAGGCAAAGCAGGAATAGTGAATAGCAGCTCACTATCATTTATCTATTCATCTGCCCATCCATTCACCATCAATTGATTCAGCAAATAGTTACGGGTGTCTATCACCATGGAACTAGGAATAGAGTCCTGATCTCTGGCCTCATGAGCACACAGTTGAAAGGGGGAAATAGGTAAGGAATCCAGTGATTATACTGCAGCATGAAAGATGCTATAGTGTGAGGAGTACAAGGAAAACATAGGAAGGGTATCTAACCCAGTTTGAGGTAGTTAAAAAAGGTTTCTTGGAAGAAGTGCTATATAAGCTAAGAACTGATGGATGAGTAAGAGTTGATCCTTGAAGAGACTTGCCACAATTCCATGATTTAAACCAAGTGGATGCTCAGCAAACATTGGTAAATGAATGAAAGAACAAATAAATGAATGGAACAACATACTATATTTCATAGCAAACGTGGTTGTTCAATTTCAGAACAAATGTAGAGTTTTTGAGGAAGGGAAATGTAATAATCTGGACTATTGATCACTTTGGTTCTTAAATCTACTCCTTTTTAACTGCTGTATAGTATTCCCTATTAGGAATAACTGTACTCCTAATGCTAGGCAATGAGTATTTCACACATTTTTCTATTGCAATCAAATGCTGCAGCAAGAGCTCTTGTATTAACCTCCTCATGGGCATATGTGAGCATTTTTCCAGGCTGATGCTGAGAAGTGGAACTGCTGGGTTATAAACCATGACCTTTTTCATTTCAGTGGATACAACCGATGGCTTTCTGAGAGAGTGACCGAGCTCATATTCCAACAGCAGTTGGTAGTGGGACCTTATGTTCTGCATTGTCACTACGATTTGACAAAATGAAAGTGCTTTGTCTTTGGGCATTTGATGTTCTCATTGATGTTCTTGTGATGAACATCTTGAGTAAGCATCTTTCAATTATTTTAACATCTCCTCTTATGTAACTTGCTAAGAATATCTTTCATTTATGTTTGGTTGTTCATCTCTTTATACCTTGGTTTTGCCATCTGTTAAATTAGGATTTTAATGCCCCCCCACCCCAGGACAGAGGCGCAGCATCAGTAGTGAGAGCTGTTTCTCCAAGCCCGGATACCTCTGCTCCTAGCCCAGGCTGGCAGAGTGTAGAGTCAGCACAATCTTACTCTATTTCTGGAAGCTGGGCATCATCCACCTGTAACTCCCTCTCCTCAGTCTGAGGCCAAGTACCTCTCAGGATGAAATACGGGTTCTGAGAACATTCGGGTTTTGCAAAATCAACAGATCTCCAGATTCAGCAGCAGCCATAGAAGTGCTGACTGTCTCCAAGTACCTTCACGATTTTGAAAGTGTGAAGCATCCATTTGATGCTAGCACCACTGAAATCATTTATCCTAAAAATGTCTCTGTATCAGTCTGATGCACTGCCGAACTTTATAGCAAGTGGGCCATTACAGATGTTGAATAA